TATATATATATATATATATATATCTTTTATTCGGGCTTATCAAAGCTGTGTGTGCCGAGGTTCGGAATTTTTACAATTAAATTCTGAATGAAAGGTATTATCACATAAATTGGTGTGAGGGATAGATTCATTCTTTTGCTTCCATGTTTACTAGGTTTTTTGATTGATCGACCTATAATTGCTTAGATTTCTTATTGGCAGCGCGTTTGCAAATAACCAAATTCCTCAATGATATTTTACAGCTTTGGGCAGGAATATAATTTCGTTCATTTAAGAGTTAGTACTCAACTGTCTTATACAGAAAAATTATTCCACATTTTCAGATATTCTTTCATTCAGTTTATTCACCCAATAGTCAGTTTGGAAGATTTCTTCGTAATAATCCGATGAACAAATTCATCACAAGGTTGCAGGTCACCTTCAGGTGTCCCCACATCAGCGTAGTGCTCAACACGTTAATGTTACTTAGACACATGCATTGCAAGTTTGGAAGTGTGACAAGCTCACCAAAATAACCTTTGAAAACAACACAGTACGTTTAGCATTGTCAGGTGTTAGACTGTTCTTTTAATGCAAATGACGTAAAAAGCCTGATTTACATAGAATGCCTGGCTTTTTCACAGCGACTGACGTCTTGTCACACCTAGTGTGGAAATGATCCCTGAATGGTCCGCGCGACTTCGGTTTTAATCACTAACGATTTGTTCTGTCGGTGCAAGCCACGTCTGCTGTGTTAGCCGAGAACCACCCTGCGCTCAACTTTTCAGTGAAATAACTTGACTCACTCCAACGATTGGTAGTAGCTATTATTACGGTTTCTATACCTTATCATTTACTTCGCAAAGCGTTGGGTAAACCAATCACATCATTCAAGCGTGAAACGGTTCGACTTTCGAACGTGAGAATTCGGGTCCGGTGCAGTTGCAGCACGCTTGTCTCGTATGTCAGATATCCGGAGCTCATACAACGGCACTGGTAATGATACCCACTGATAACATACTCCAGTAGGAGAGGGACTTAAATCCGGTGCTTCGGCAAGACGGACAAGAATAATTTTGCCAGGACAGGGAGAGGACTAATCGAAAGATAGTGTTGTGAGCGTGGGTAACACGTTTCCGCTCACGTTTTAGTTCACAAATGGATGTGGTGTTTTATATCGACCAATATACAGCACCTCTATGCTGTCTCCCCAGTGTAAAAAAACCGATTTATCACACCTTTCAATCTCAGGCTTTCCACCAAAACAGCCACCTAAAAATAAATGTTATTGCTGAACGTTGTCTACAATATCCAGCTTCTTTCAGTATATGAAAAACTACCAGATGTTTTGCTTTCAACTGTAGTGCTCAAAATAAATCCATTTTAACTGCCGCTCTCTGCTCAATATAAAAGCGGCTTCCGAATTGTAATGGTATTTTGAGACCAAATGCTTATCAGTGGTCCGTAACCTCAAGATTAGCCGTTTGGAATTTCCATATAATGGAACAGTTTCGGAGACCAGTGATATGGCACATCTTAAAACAATTCTGTGGCAGCATCTCTGGAGTTCAGGAGGGGTTATTCAGCTCCTAGTCAATAAATTCTACTAAAACCCTTCGTAGTTCTATCCAGTGGACGTTCCTTTAAACGAGGGAAGCCAACCGAGTACCTGTGAAGCTTTACTGAGGTTTGTCGTAGACAACTTGGCGTAGATTAAATGGTATATACTTCGTTTCTGACTTAACCCACCTTTTGAAATTTACCCCCCTCCTGACTGAGTATTACGTCAATAGAAAAATTTGAAATCGTGTTGGGTTTGAATGTCAGCTTGTATTTTTTTGTAGGAGTTTGCGCCTCACCGTTGTTATTGTGACGTTTGTTGTGTAATGAGGTGCTGCACTGACTCCGACAGTGTAATGGTTACACTGCAGTTTATGGACCACATACTTGCCTTGAGACCACTTAATCCAAATGATTTGTCGCCATTCATTTCCGGAAACAATTCGACGAAAACGCCGTTAAACTCTTGTGCAAATAATTCAGCTTCCTCCAGATAAAAGATCGCTTCTACTTTCTCTATCAGTTTACGTGTTTTGTATAGAGATATTCTGCTCATTTTGTTTTTTAGACGCCAAATCACTTAAGTTGCTTAAGGCCTAAATTGGCTGCAAATATGCCAATGATATCAATATTTTCTACTGATATTTCGGCCCAACGATCTTTCATCTGTGTTACAATAGCTCTTCTATTCTAACGAATTTGACGTTACGTGATCTCAATATGAACGTGGGAACGTGCTTGAGTGACTGCCTAATTTATTTCTCCCGTCCTAGTTGCCAAACTTTGCATGTGGCACATGGTGACGCATTAACGTCAACAGTGAATGCATTCTCGGTCATTATATACCAAACCATTTCTTGGTTCACGCACGTAACATCAGGTTTGAGTGAACTGGAGGCAGCTTGGTTTTTATTGTTGTCCTGCCTCTTCTCATTTTTAAGTTGCGACAGAGTGCAATCTTTTGTGTTTACTTGGTTTTAATTTCCTTTTGGCCTCAAGAAATAAAACACTAATAACCGTTCTGTTCTTTACATCGTTATCCAATTGAACTTATCTAAACAACACCATCTTCGCTCAATGGCATATTTATGGACTTTCTGTCTTATTCACGCATAAGTTGTTCTCGCAAATTCTACTAGACAACACTCGCTTTAAGCAGACTAGTTTGTCCACTGCTAATTTAAATTAAAACTAAACAACACCATCTTCGCTCAATGGCATCTTTATGGACTTTCGGTCTTATTTACGCATAAGTTGTCCTCGCAAATTCTACTAGACAACACTCGCTCTAAGCAGACTTGTTTGTCCACTGCTAATTTAAATTAAAACATTTTTTAAGTTCAACATGAATCATGATCTGAAGGTATCTCACCACAAATCAACTTTCCTGAGCCGTGATCTCAATTCTTTGACATGATAATATTTTTTACTCTTATTTCATCTTCATCACTCTGAGAAAACCAGAATTTTGTCAAATGATGGTGCGAAAAATTTAACTCAATTTGACTGAGCATGCAGGTTTAAGAGTCTTCAAAGTGCGTGGGGTAATTTCTTGCATATACATAGTTCTTTGTATGTAGAAAAGTTTAGACTGCTGTTAAAAGAGACGTCTTAACTGAGGTATTTACTGAGGTACTATTTCAAAATTACACAGCCACATTTCGTTTTGTCAGTTTTTTTTAATGTTTATGTATATGAGCTATAAATCTAGTAATGGTTGCGAAAAACCATGCCCAACTTGTGTTTGTCTCCTCTGTGTTTATGTTCTCCGGAAGGTCCTTAATTGTTTCCACCATGCCGGCAATCAGATCTAAAGGCCAGGTGAGAAATGGTGATTTTTTATTACAACAAATATGTCAGCCTAACTATGGTTCACGTCGGGAATAAGTGGTGAAGCCAAGAAATGACAGCAGCCATCTGGGTATTGCGTAATGTTTCGTCCGAAGTGGTGGGCACTAACTCCGTTACTGCTCAAAAATTAACGTATTTTGGCGTGCCCCGCAGATCAGTGTAAATAAGACACACCACTGAATTAGACAGTCTGGAATAAGCAGTTATTCCTAAACTGGAATAAGGTAACACTGGTAACACCCGGAATCCTCAGCAGCGCTGGTCACAGGAGCCTTCAGAGAGACAAAATCTCACAGCTCCTGAAACTGTG